GAGACAAAACGAACGCACCAGTAGCTTCCTATTTTACAGACAGATATGACAGTGGTGTCAATCTTCTCATTTAACATTCTGCAAGAAAGTGACTAAGCTTTTTCCAAAATGTCACACTTTTCCTTTAACTTAGTGTATAAATTGTGTGACAGAGGATAATAGAAGTCCTGAATTAAACGTTGACCTAAAGGCAGATATCGTTGTCTTTGTGTAATATTGTTTGTGTCAGAAAGCAAGAGGATTTTTTCTTCTCTGTGTAGACAAATTGTAAGGTTCATTTTTGAGTTGATGTTTGTACAAATGTTGAGGTTTGAATGTCCTGATCCTCACAAAGCTATGTGTGTATGTGCAGGAAGCTCACTGACTTTTTATGACTGTAACTGCATAAAGAATTAATTCAAAGCAGCAGCAAGGCAGCCTGGAGTTCATTGCATCTTTATTGTGAACAACAACAACCTCGGTTGTTACTGCGACCGTGAATTCTTAAATATCTTTTTGAGAAAGTATTATGAGGATATCTAAGTTAGTGCAGTGAACCAACATGTAAATCCATGTGTAAAAAGATAACTGTGTTCAGACTGTCGGTGTATTAAACCTATCCGTGAACTGAATAAGCTAGAGTAGTTTGAGAGTGAGTTATTTATTAACCATATGAACTTCTAACAGTGTTTCAAACAGGTACTGTACTGCAATGGCACAGTATGCCAGCACAATAAAGACATGAAATCACTGGTGGTGCACATTTTATTTTTGTCAAATCACATAAAATTTTGCCAAAGGCGATTTTCTATTTAATTTTTACATTCATAATGTCTGTTTCCTGACCTAGCAAAGAAACAAAACACATACAAACAGGTTTCTTTAGCACGACTCTGCATAAGTGCAAAATTTCTAAACAAGCGTCACACAAAACCAAGCACATTTAGCCATTTTGTAATTCTTTTTCCCCCTCTGGGTTACTTTTTCATGCAACTGGTGTCTTTTTTTATTTTTTTACAATGACACATTGTATAACAATAAGCCATTATCACAAGCAACACACATTTGAACTTTTGAGTTTTCTGTTGCATCAGAGCCATTTCCTCGTGCACCATGGCTTCCAGTAAGAGCATTTTTCCACCTCCCTCTTAGTCTTCCCCAGAGAAGGGGCTCTCTACTGGGGGCAGGTTACTGCTGATCATCACCCTCTACTTCCACACCCCCAAAGCTCTCCCTCCTCAGTCTTTGGATCTCTGTGTTGAGCCCCAGTAGTGTCTGAGCCAGCTGGAGGTCCTGTGAGCGCATCTCCAGCTGCATGACAACAATGAAAGAACTGAATCAGCATGTTGGAAGCTATAATGTATGCACTTAGATGCAAAGACACAAGCATAAATTACTACTGTACATTAATGGACTGACATTAACAACAGATAAATCAGAAAACATTTCTGGACACGACAACTGATAGCAAATACTGCAAACTATAGAGAAAATGTATACAGAAAATATCAAATCTGTGAGTCAACTTACCAGTTCAGACCTCAGCCAAGTTATCGCTCCATCTATCTGCGCCCTCCGCAGCTCTTCATTGGCCTGGTAACTTCTGCCAAGGCTGACTGGTCTGACAGAGGAGCCAGACTCTTCTCTGGACTCTCCTGTCGCCCTGAAGGCATGAATCAGTTTGTTTTTAATATTCTCCAGAACCATGGTGGACAAAGTATCCTCGCTGTGACTGTCTCGGTCCATGCTGGGAGGGTATAAGTGTGTGCCCCCTCACGTGTTGCCTCCCAGCACTTTCTTTGACTGACTGGTATTCACTTTTCTCATTAAACTTTAGGAAACTTTGATGTCCACTTTACAGATCCTCTCCGTACTGGTCTTCTTCCTTTCCCCTTATGAACAGGACTCAGCAGCAGAAGTCTGTGTGCTTCTGCTCAGCAGCTGCAGTCATCCCTTTTGCCTGCCCGGTGTTGAACTGGCTTGTTTTGTCATTGTTACTATGGAGAAACTGCCCTCCGCGTGCATGCCCCATCTCCTCCTCCTCCTCCCCTTCCTCCTGCCTCCTCGTTTGTTGGAACCTTAGATAAGAATGGTGAAGTCGGACAAAGACGAGTTGCCTCCAAAAGAACGCCAAAAAGCGCACCACCGTGCCACCACAGCCTCGCCCCTTTGTTTCTTCCCCTTTCGTCGGTCTTCTCTGTTTCTGGATCTCCGAGTCACCATTGTGCTC